GAGTTCATAATAGTTTGTGCATACACACACACACACACATATATATATATATATATATATATATATATATATATATGTATGTAATATAAAAATATATATATATATATATATATATATATATATATATATTTTTTATTGTTTTAGTTGTGATTTTTGAAGGGAGGAGTGCTTTAATATCTGGGCCATAAATACTTGAATTTAACATCTTGATCCAAGCATCTGTGTTACCAACTCAGTGATTTCGGTAACTATGCATGCCTTGTATGTTGCACAGATTTTGGGTTCACCTTGTTGGCTATAAAGAAACTTCAATGCAACAGGTTTTGTTAGTCACTTGATTGTACATTCTGTTGTGACCTGCTACCCCAAAAAACAACAGGTGTAAAATGAAATACTGTTTCTGCTTTGTCACAAGACAGGGCACTGGTATATTATTTATATGTATTTTTCATCCCTAAGTGGGTAAAATTATTTATTTAAGAATTATATAAATATATCTTTTCTACTAATGAGATTGTGTGAATGGATAGCAAAACAGAGAATGACTGTAAAAAAAAAAAACAATCAATTCTAAGTGTGACAAAGGATAGGAAGTTGTATAAAGATATTACACATGTCCTGAAGAGCATATACAAGAATATTAAAGTATCATTACAGGTATGGCCCAATGGCTGATGGAGAGGAGTCCAGAGTTCATTTTTTTTTTAATTTCAAAACAAAAAATGGTGTAACTTGCCCATCTAAACTAAGTAGGCATCAAACCATTAGACATTATACTAAAGATAAGTTTGTTTTTTTTTGTTTGTTTTTTCTTCAGTAAAATGTTAAAAAATATATTCTGTGTACTGTGTCTCTTCATGATGTGGACGATCATGGTTCTCCACAATTTCCTGCCCTTTGTAGCTCTTGATAAAGTTTATCATTTTGCTCTCTCTCTCTTAATCTCTGTCCTGCTAACCATTTACACAAACTCATTATGTAGGTGACACACTGCTTTCCTCTGTTCTCTTTGCCTTCAATATGTCCTGTGAGTGTTAAATTTTCTAAGATCTCTTTCCTCATTATGTGCCATAGAAATTTCAACTCTCCATTTCTGATTCTCAGTATAAATGTTCTTTTTCTTTCCATTTTCTCTAAAACTTTATCATTGCTCACATGTTCAGTCCATGGCATTCTCAGTATCCTTCTGTATAACCACATGTTTGTTACCTCAAGTTACTGCATTCACTGCCATATAGGAAAACTGATATTACATAACTGTTAAGTATTCTACTTTATTTCAAATGAAATTTTCCTGTTTCTTAATATTTTGCTTAGCTTTTGGAAGGCATATTTTGCTATCCCAGTGCACATATGGATTTCATTTAATTCCTTAAAACTTTCTTGTTACCCACATTCTTTCTCCATGGTATTCTCAACATTTGTTAATAAAATCACATCTCATTCACTTCAAATTTTTTCCTTTACTTGTCCAGCATTCTCTCTATAAAAATGCCGTTATTACATAGCATTGTAACACTTTTTTTCATTGATTGTAGGTACATTATTCAATCTCTGTTTCGCTCAATGGATCCTCAAGAATTTTTGTTGAAAGAGTATTTTGCTATTCAGTTCTGAACAAGTAAGAATATTTCAAGAATAAAACTCTTCATTCATTAAGTACAATGGTAATGTTAACTGTTTCCTTATAAGGAAACATTCGGCATTCATTGACCAAGCAGCTTTTACTATTTTCAGTTGAAAATGCTTCTCTAAAAACAATTTTTCAAGAAAATAGGTTTCTCAAGTTCAGTAGCTGTTATCTTTCTTTCCAGTACTGATGGGGCTTTCCTTTCTAACTTTTTGTTTGAAGTAGTATGGAAGGTCAACCTCTTGATTATCTAATTATTTTCACTTTCAGTTATATGTGATAATATGGGCACTTAGCCAAGTGGTTAGAACATTCGCATTCTGACCATGCGACCCGGATTCGAATCTCACCATGGATGATTTGTCAGGAAGGAGACTTTAGTCTGGAAGGGTCGATGCCAGCATGCAGCACCACTTGGAAAGTGCCTGAAAACCATATCACAGATTCACCCAAGCCTTGAGAGTGAAATTGGGTAGACAGAACCCTTGGGTGCCTTCAATAGGTGTACTAGCACAAAATCACAAGTCATTGTGGCTGAGGGGTTGAGTGTGCTGGCCTTGTTCAAATTGTTGATCACGCTAGTTAACACACTCTTTCCCAGAAACTCTGAGGTCTACTCAGCCTAGTTTCAGTATAAACCACAGGTAGGCTCTGTGGGTGTTGAATAAACACAAATATGCCTGAGCAAGCATCTTCAATAGGGATTGTCTAGCCGCCCTAATAGATGGGTATTCTTGAATACAAGTGGCCAGCTATACATGATACATATATCTGTTTTTGCTATTTGGTGCAGTTTTTGTGATTCTGTTGCGCTAACCCACAAGGTTTTTTGAAGAAATGTGCTCTTTACGAAGATCAACAGGCTTCACTCTCAGTCATATAAATTAATGCAATAATTAAGACTTCTTTTCAATACCATCCAATCTAAAAAAAAAAAATAACAAAAACAAGTCATGTTATTTAATTACATATCACCTTTTCTGTAACATGGTAAATGTAAAAGGCAAGAACTGTAGAAGTCAGACATTTAAAAGGAAAAAAAATATGAAGCAGCAATTTTAGCAAGCAATAATGTTCTTCATGTGTGTCATGTGTTTCAAGCAAATGTTTCCACCATTTGACTCGTATTAAAACTTACCAAATTCACAAGCAAAACTGATGCAAAATAGATTAACTAGGATTATGAGATTGCAACAAAATTTTCTGTTTCTCTAACAAAATCTATTATTCATAGCATCATTATTCAGTTGTCAAGATATATGCTGCAGTTTCATCTGATCATATGCTGCTCTTTTATTTATGTGCCATCTTCCCTTGAAGATGTGGCTGGTCATAGCACTCCACAACTTCCTGTCTTTTCTAGATATATTAAACATGGCACGTGGAACTAGAACAGTCTGCCCCAGTGAGTGAAATATAGTGTTCAGTTCAACATTCCAACCACCTGAAGAAACATTGTAATAAATATAGCGACAAAGATGAGGACAATAGTCTGAATAATGTAAATAGTGTACATAATACCTCATCTCAGAAATACAGACAGATACCAAATTATAATTTCTTTTTAATTTTCCCTATGCAAGTGATTAACTGCTTTATTCTTCTCAAATGTTGTCTTAGTTTGGCACAGAACTGTGATAATAAGACATTCGGTAAAAACATTATACTAGTTATGGTCTGCCAGACAAACTTGTTTATCATTACCCTTATTGAGATGTGCTCCAAATTGGCTCTTGTTGGACTCAAAATGTCTACTTTTAGTGATAATGTTCAACCTTCACTTTCTGTAGAAATAGTTTTAAATACTATTTTCTTTCAGGATGTAAGTGATCATGACACTCCACAATGTTCTTAATATCTGTAAACTGCATTGCCATGATTGAATGACTCGAGGGGGCAAAGATATGGTTCTACAGAAGGATGCCAAGGATATCATGGACCGAGCAACGATGAGGTCTTAGAGAGTTTGCAAACAAGGAGAAGGCTTATACTTAAGATCAGGAAGAGGCAGCTGAAGTTTCTGGGACACATAATGAGGAAGGAAGGCTAGGAAAATCTGATACTCACGGGTCGAATAGAGGGAAAGAGAGAGAAGGGAAAACAACGCATGACATACCTGACAGCCTTAAGCAAGTGGATGACAGAACGTGGTTCAGGGGAGGAAGCAGAGAGAAGGAACTTGCTGAGAGCTTCAAGGTGTAGAGGGAGTTGGAAAGCCATGATCACCTACATCCTGAAAGCACATGGCACATAAAAAGAAAGTAGTTTCTCTATAGATCTGACTTCAATGTTGTCTTCTCTTAGATTGTTTATCAATCAAGTCTAGATAAACCAGTTTGCCCTATGATTTTACTGATAGCAAGTGGAAAAAGAGAAGGATTGCTTTCTCAAGAATATTAGTGCAGTATGAATGCAACAATCTTGAGTGAAATTTGACCTGTTTACTGTTTAATTTTTCATGCCAGCAGCCATTAGCTACCTGCATACAAAAATCTAGCGGTTGGTTATATCTGTTTAAACAGAATTTTATAACAAAAGTTTTTTTGGTAAAAAAAATCACTAAGACATGAAATCTTCAAATTTTATTTGTATATTAACGGACCAGATGGAATAGAGATCATCTTAAAGGAATTACTGCCTTGGTTCTAGATATTTGCTAATGAACTTAAGCCAACCATGTTTATTCCCATAACTTTTTCAAAACCAATATCTTTACCAGCAGTGTTTCACTAGTAATATCTATAGAACCAACAGGGCAACAACAAAAGCAAATATCTTTAACAGATGCACCGTACCACCCATTGCTGCAAAAAAAAAAAAGTAATTAGAAAAAAAAAAAGAAAAAGTAAAACCCTCAAACAATGTCATTTACATCATATGTACCAGGTCTACTTGCCGTAATGGATAAATCAGTGAAGTTATTAGTTTTTCAATTACTATTCTGCATGCATTTCTTCGTTCTTCTTCTTCTCTCTCTTTGTCTTTCAGCCGTACTTTTGCCAATACGAAAAGGAAGATGGAACTGGTGGAAATGTATACACACACCCACCAACACACACAGACACACACACAAATGCCTGCAATAAGGCTAATCTAATTTTTCCTACAAATGCCGAATGCCGTAGAGCTTTTTAAAACAGTAATACATCATGAGGAGTGCCAACCACCCGTCTCGGCAGTGACTGCCGTCTTGGTACAGCCTGACAGGCAAACATATAGTTTGCCTTTATAAAAAAAGGAAAAAAAATAGTATCTGGGATAAAAAGAAAAAATTGAAACAAAGACCTCCCTTCTTGGTAGCTAAAGTAGATGTCAATCTAGCTTCTTCTTGCGGCATTAATATAAGTAGACAATCAATTCATGTCTCTCGATGTTAGGGATATTTTTTTTGTCTCTTTTTGTCTTCTTTACTGTGTGTCTTTCTTTCTTAGATTTTGTACTTTCTCTTTCGATTATATATTTTTACTTTCTTTCTTTCTTCCCTGAATTTCATGTTTTTTTTGTTTTTTACATTTTTCTCTTTCTTTCTCTTTTTCTCACTTTTTCTTTTTCATCTTTTCCCTCTTTTAATCTTTTTCTCTTAATTTTTCTTTTTTCTCTTTTTCTTTTTTCTCTTTTTCTCTTTTTCTTTTTTCTCTTTTTCTCTTTTTCTTTTTCTCTTTTTCCCTTTTCTTTTTCTCTTATACTTTCTCTTTTTCATTTTTTCTTTTTCTCTTTAAATTTTTCTCTTTTACTCTTTAACTTTTTCTCTGAATTTTTTTCTTTCTTCTCTTTTTCTCTCTTCCTTTTGTCTCTCTTCCTTTTGTCTCTTTTTTCTTTTTTTCTCTTTTTCTTTTTTTTCTTTTTCTTTTTTCTCTTTTCTTTTTTTCTCCGTTCTTTTCTTCTCTCTTCCTTTTTTTCTCTTGTTCTTTTTTCTCTTTTTCTTTTTTCTCTTTTTCTTTTTTTCTCTTTTCTTTTTTTCTCTTTTTCTTTTTTCTCTTTTTCTTTTTTCTCTTTTTCTTTTTTTCTCTCTTCCTTTTTTCTTCCTTTTTTCTTGTTCTTTTTTTCTTTTTCTTTTTCTCTTTTCTTTTTTCTTTTTTTTTTTTCTTCCTTTTTTCTCTTCCTTTTTTCTCTTCCTTTTTTTTTTCTTTTTCTCTTTTTCTTTTTCTTGTTCTTTTTCTCTTTTCTTTTTTCTTTTTCTTTTTCTCTTTTCTTTTTTCTCTTTTTTTTTTTTCTCTTTTTCTTTTTTCTCTTTTTCTTTTTTTCTCTCTTCCTTTTTTTCTCTTCCTTTTTTTCTCTTCCTTTTTTTCTCTTGTTCTTTTTTCTCTTGTTCTTTTTTCTCTTGTTCTTTTTTCTCTTTTCTTTTTTTCTCTTTTTCTTTTTTCTCTTTTTCTTTTTTCTCTTTTTCTTTTTTCTCTTTTTCTTTTTTTTTCTCTTTTTTTTTCTTTTTTTTTTTTTTCTCTTTCTTTTTTCTCTTTCTTTTTCTCTTTTTCTTTTTCTTTCTTTTTTTTTTTTCTTTTTTCTCTTCCTTTTTTTTTCTCTTCCTTTTTTTTCTTCCTTTTTTTTCTTTGTTCTTTTTTCTCTTTTTTTTTTCTCTTTTCTTTTTCTCTTTTCTTTTTTCTTTTTCTTTTTTCTTTCCTTTTTTCTCTTCCTTTTTTTTCTTCTTCCTTTTTCTCTTGTTCTTTTTTCTCTTGTTCTTTTTTCTCTTGTTCTTTTTTCTCTTTTCTTTTTTTCTCTTTTTCTTGAGATAGCTTATTATGGAGTAGTAGTTCACAAGGCTAGTCTTGTTGGTCAATACTACTGAGTTTGATTCTCACTGGGTACCCCATACAAAATTCATTGAAAAACAACCCAAGGGACGACAGGTCATAAAACTAAACACCCAACAATAGTTGAATATCATAGCTGATCTTTCTTTTTTATTGTCTTTCCTCTCTTTCTGTTCATGCTTTCTTTCACATCACCAACCTAACAGTAACTCTCTACCCTGAGTGTCTCTTGAGCCTTGTATTGGGTTAATTTTAGTATATAAAATGAACATCAAAAGGTAAAATAAACATCAATTGCCTAGTATCTGTTTACAAAAAACAATACCTCTGGTGACATCACTTAAAAAAATAATATACAAAGTCTGGTATAAGGTCAGATTTATTGAGCACTTATCATTTATCACTTGCAAGACAAGTATGCTAACTATTACAGCAAGTGAGGAGAAATATTTCTGAAAGTCTGTTATTATCAATCACTGCACAACTAGATAAGAACACAAGGCTTGACTTTCAAGAAACATCGAAGTTTATAACTGAAAGCTTTTATGCACAGAACCAAATAAACAAACTTCTAATAGATTGTTTCAGTAGTCATGACTGTCAGTTGAAATAAATCCTGTCTCTTTGGGATAAACCTTTGGGAACATTGTCTATAATTTGTGTTGTATTGTGTCTTAATTATTAGAATTACTTCCTGTTATAGCTGCATTTGATATTCAATGACTTTTCTCTTGTGACTTGTTGATATTGGATTCAGAAGCTATTTTGCTTATTTTTAGAAAGTGGACAAAGCTACTCAGTCAATAGATAATATTGGAATCGATGCCAGTCAGCAAGGTCACAAAGCATTGGTTGGGAAAAAATAATTAATTTTTTCTTTTTTTTTAAATAAATTTTAATTCCATTTATGGGTAATTGATCCTTTGATCAGTGTGGCTGATGCTAACCTCCAGGAAAGTGAATCATTGCGCCTTCTTGGGCTCCCATTCTCTGCTGATACAAAGTAGAAAGACTATATTGTATCCATTGTTAGGTCAGATCCTTCTGTAGGAACACATTTCTGTTGCCTACAGGCTTCTCTTCATCTGAGAGGAGATTGTCCAGCATTCTCAGTCATATAGATAAGCTTAATAACTATTACTCCATACTGAAGAACTTTCATAATAGCATTTATAAGTCATCATTCAACCATGGTCAGGATCATTGTACTAATGTGAACGATCCTTTCCTTAGCTGTATAGTATGTGCTAGACCAGGGCTACATACAGTTTTGAATTCAGAGTTACTTCCTCCTAGACCAGTTGCCACCCAAGGTTATAGAACCCAATCTGTCTTGCTATTTACCCATAGCTGGGGGGGGAGAAGAGGATTCATGCCCTTCCCAAGGGTATTATTACATAAGTGAATGTAATAGATCTGAATGGAATTCAAACTTGGCTATCCAAATCCTCAATCCAAGCCATTATCCATTACTCCACCATGCCTTTCAAAATTTATAAAAATGGTCATTAATCTTAGCCTCTGTCATCAAAATATCATTTTATCATACCTATTCCCTCCTTAACTTTACAAGTACACATTTGCCATTTGATTAAAATCAAATGTTTATTTCTTGGTATTGTATAACAGTAATTTCATCCTCAGCTTATTCCCTGACACTACCAGTAGGCTATAAAATTTTATGTTTTTTTTTTCTGTAGGATAATGACTTTATTTCAAGAGTTTGTCAACTCCGGGCCTGAAAAAGAATGTAATCAGATACAAAAATAATGAAATATTTTGAAAATAAAGGAAGTTGTATCTCAGGTTTCATACAAATTGTAACAAAAGCAAGTTTATAACGGTGTTTAAACTACTGTATTTGAGAAAACAGATGCACATTTCTGCCTCATCTTCAATATAAAAAAGAAATTTCCTACATCGAAAAAGTAAAGATTAAATTTTTTTTATGAAGCGATATTTCATCATATAAGCAGAAAATTAATCTTACCATCTTCAAAATAAAACCATGGATACACACATAACAAATTAATTCTTTTTCAGTGGTTGTGCTAACATGAAGTCACAAGTTAGGATTCAAGTGTACTGGTCTTGTTCAATTATATATTACACTAGATCATGCACTTCCTCCTAGAAATGTTAACTAAAGTTTACCCAGTGTAGTTGCAGTATCAAATACAGGTTGGCTCTGTGGGTGTTGAAGAATTACAAATGTGCCTGAGCATCATCTGTAACAGGGATTACCTTAGCAGATGAATGTATTCAGAAATATGTAACCAACTATTAGAATGGATTTTTTTTTAAATAACACAGGAGGAGTAATTTGAATCTTTTGGACAAGGAGCAATTTAGGATTTTTGTGAACAAAGTAGAAAACATCCTATGGCTGCAGGAAATTCACTCATATTAAAATTTAACTGAATTATTCTAAAAATTTTCAGAGGCATTTAGATATATAATTTTGTAGCTGTCAAAGAGTTGGGGAGGTTGTATGGACTAAGAAATGGTCACAAATGGCTGCTCTATAGTTTTGATTTCTTTAATATATACGATTTGCCATGCAAAAGGTAGGGGATTAGTTTCTCATTGTATTGTTTTAATTCTGATTTTTCTTTTGCCTAAACTAATTGAACTACCAAAGTTGGAGAGTCTAGTCATCCCTACTATTTTACAAATAGATGGCTGGGATAAGAGATGTATTCATGTCTTAGCCAAAATTTGAATTTGGCTTGTTATTCCACTTTTTATGCCAATAAACATCATGCCATCTGTATGCGAAATAACTTAACATTTATTCAGAATGAGATAAAAAATAAAAAACACACACACACAGATACATTGATATTTGAGCACCCAGGCTGTTATTGTTGATTTTCAATAATTTTTTAAAAATTCTGACTTTATGTTGGTTTCTTATTTTTTTTTTTTTTTTTTTTTTTTTTTTACACCATTTCAGTGTGCATTTCATGTATTAATGTAACCAGTTCAGCTTACTTGAAAAAATAAGTCCCTACTGAAATAAATAAATAAATATATACACACACACACACACACACACACACACACACACATACAGCTGAAAAAAATAAAGATGATATCTAGATTGGCTACTGGGAATGTGATAGTAATATGTGAAAACAGAATGTGTCATTAAATGACTATTTTGATGCAAGTGATGAAAATATTGACTATAAAAGACTCGTAAATGTCTACTTAAAGCCAAATTGCTGGAAAGAAAGATATCAATATGCAAGATGTTATGTTGATTCTGCCGTTGATATGCTTACAAGCATAAGTATGACTTGGTGAGTCATAGGATAGTAATGCTGATCGAATTCACTAACAGTCAACCAGTCTACAACACTAGCTTGCTAGTCACTGTACTACAGTTGGTGCCTCATTTAATTGCCTTATAACTATCAAAAAATTGTCATTAACTTAATTGATTAAATAAAACATAGAATAAAAAGAGTATGTTTCTCAAATTTCATGAGTAATTTATTTGTGGTAGGGTCATTAGGCAATTTATTTCATATTAGAAAAGGTTATTTTTGCTTATCTTGATCTCATTATTATGAGAATTGCAAAATTAAAAAAAAAAAATCAGGAATAAAAAATGTCCGCCAAAAATTTTCAATAAAAATTAACAGGTTAAAAATCTAATTAAAATATAAAACAGCAGGAAAATACTATGAAATATATGCAAGGAAAAAAAGGAAGTTTTTTTAAAAGTCAAAAAATAAATTAACAAAAGTAAAATATTATGGTGTATCAAAAATATTTTCATTTTTACAGACCTTTACTTTAAAGCTTATTTCATGTACGCATCTAAAGAGTATGATTTCACTAATACTAATATCATTGTTACATATTAAGGTATATCAAAGCATTTTCATTTTTTTACTGCCCAAAGCTTATTTCATGTACACAAGGGGGTGCTGAAAATTTTTTAGCTCAATCAAAATGTGATTACCCAAAAGATATTGTATTTGCTCAGATTTTGGGAAGTGAGAGCAAGAATTTTTCAACATCTTGTCTCTATGAATTCTACTAATATATATATATATATATATATATATATATATATATATATATATATATATAAGGAAAATTAATGACAAAGTGAAAAAAGCTTTTTGTGTGACACATTTCATCATCTAGACATCATTAGACTAAAGGGATGTTTCTATTGATGTAACTATATATGCGCATGAAGCATATGTAGTTTTTAATTTTCCTGACATTATATATATTTATTGCTTTAAACATTACTTTTAGTGCCTACTCATATTTTAGTAGACACTCAATTTATTTATTAAACACCATATTTATTTATTTTTGACTTCCTGCCTAAAACATTCAAGAACTTTTATTAACAATAAATATGTGCTCTCCAGCAGTATGAGTAGCCACTAAAAACAATATTTAAAGTTATAAAAGTCTGTCAGATTGATAAATAAAAATACATTACCTTAAAAAAATTACTTCATATATATATATATATATATATATATATATATATATATATATATATATAAAAATTCTTGTGCCTTCTTGTACACTTTACCATAAAATGTGAAAGACAGTTTCTGGATTAACAAGACACATAAAAAATTCATATTGATTCTGTGCCTGTTGAGCTTAGGGACCTCCCTTTCAGGTGCAACATTTGTGCAAAAGCTTGTAAAAGTAAGGCTGGTTTAAGTCATCCACACTCTCATGATCAGTGAGTCTGAAAGTTATAAAAAAAAAAATTGTTGTGGAGATGGTTTTCTGTCAAGAAGTGACAATCACCACACACACACACACATATATATATATATATATATATATATATATATATATATATATATATATATATATATCCAAATACAAGAAAAAAACAGATGGAGTAAAAATCAACAGTTCATAGCATTTACTTTTTTAAAAAAGTGCTCAATACAAAGTAGAGCAAAATATTATTATGATATTTTTATTATAATAGATTACAATAAAACATTTTACATTGCTACACAAAAACTTTAATGTTTCAGAA